TGCAAAGGCGAATCTACATTGATTTCAGTGAACTGATATAATAGAGAAAGATCTATGAGCACATCTATCATCAACTAAACAGCCTCTGTCAGTGAGTGCACTGGAAAGTGTCCCTAGTGACTAGGACAGGAGATTTGTCCTCTGCATTAGACCCTTCAATGACAATGAGGCAACCTGTCAGCAGCACTGAGCACTGAGCAACCACAGAGGGCAGCCGCAGTGCAGCGCCCAGGGACCATTTCCAGATCTTCCAGATCTTCACTTAGGCTCATACAGGGCAAACTAAAGGACTGTGCAATTATTTTATTCTGACGGGGTAACTGGAATACTGGAGGTCAACCAATGTTGATTTTTTTTCATGACTAATGCCGATAAGATTGCAGAGAATCAATGGCTGATAAGTTCTGCAGATATTTGGGGCCGATATCCAAGGTTGATTTTAATAATTTTGCACAAATTAAGTCTTTTAAATTTACTGCAAACAGTAAACACTGAATTCAGGTGCTATTTTAATGTGACTTACGCAATGGTGTCGATCATGTCAAGGCCCATTTCCACACAGCAGTGAGCATGGTCAGCTTTGGGTTGGGTCAGCCCTGACACACAGTAATAACAGTCTCCCAAGATCTTTATTCTCCTGCAGTGGTTCTCCTGGAAGAAACAAAGAAATAAGGGCAAACTGAATGAATTAGGTTTATTTATTTTTTGACCAGAAAAGCAACCAATGTCATGTCAAGTGTCATATACTGTATGTCACGCTATATACAAATACATTTAACCATTTAGTCTGAATATTTGTGTGTAAAAAGGTTGCAAATATCATGATACAATATGAGATTACATTTAAGAATGAATAAATTATTGCTGAATCTAATCTAATGCATCTTAAACATCAGCTTGACTTTAAGATAAAAAGCAACCAGCAATGATTCTGTATACAAAATTACATAGATAACCATATTCTGAATTTCTGTATGCAAAAAGAGTCAGTGTATTTCCTTACATTAAAACAGTTGGTTTAAAACAAAAAGAAATTATTGATGAGTCTAATGCAGCATTTCCAGTTTCATTCAGAAGGGCTATTTTACATTTGCTTATGGTCTGATATAGAAAGAGATCACAATGTGCTAAAGTGTTGCATAAGATTACATGGGTTTGAACAAAAACACACAGTGGTACTTAAAGAGGACTGATACTGGCTTTTTGTCGTGTCATATATATTTATAGACCGACTTGTTTTTGGAGTCCGTTGCCTTAAGGATAAAATGTTCACTTGAACAGGAAGATTTGTTGGCTTCGTTTCCCAAAGATTATACTCAATGACGCATTCACAATACATTGGTAGAGGACAAAGCAATACTGATTTAATGATAATAATATATATGTTGTATAATATGATAATTATTTTTATTTGCTCCTCCTTATGCACTGCCACTTCCACCTTCATCCACAATCACTTGTTATACAGGTACGACATTGTGTTCCTACACTGTAAACCCAAATTTTCTTTTACATATTAAGCCATGCTAATATTACTAATCTTTTTAATATTTTTGCAAAAGGCGGGACCATTACTAAACAAAGTGTGAATTGTAAACTATTTTAAACTAGTATTTGCTGTACTAATGGCTCTGAGTGGAGACGGCTCACACTTGTATGTTTTTACCGGTGAAGGGAGAGGCGTGGCACCTGAACACTCCCAAACTGCACCAAACCACATTTGACTTCTGCTCGGACTGTTGGCTGCAATTCAGCGTCAGTCTGCTTTATCATCATATGGTAAGTGAATAAATATGGTTTATGTTCCCGTGAGATTGAATAGTTGGTGACATTGGTTGACGCGTGCAGCCAAATAAGACTAAAGTGAAGTTTGTGGTCACGTTGTGCTCGTTATCATCTGTTAGCCGCTAACAGAGAACAGCTAATGCTAACAGTTAACGCTGTGGGAGCCGGTACTACCGGCATCTCTACCGGTCCGGTAGAGATGCGCGGAGGGCGGACTCCGCGGCTAAACCGCGGCTCGGGCGGATGACGCGACGAAAAATACAATTTTAATCAAATTCGGGCGGGTGGCGGTTTAATGACGCATGGACCCATAGAACTACTCACGGGCGCCGTGTCTTCTCACATACACCGTGTGCACCGCGCCTTTTTTTTAATCGAGACTCGTTTTCGTTGTTTGCTATATGATTGTTCTAAAATCTAAACTCGTGGGTGCAAATGGAGAGTTTGGAGTTCAAGTTTTTAGATTATCACCACAAAATTGCATATAAGCTTTGGCTGGAATCAAACACTAAAACATATTTTCTGTTTTACAGGACTACCCAACATGCTGTGGAGCTGTAAATACTGTGAGTTCAGCTGAGATAAGAGAAGTTACTACCTCAGACACTACAGAACACTAATTTCTTTCTTTTTTTTTTTTTTTTAGATTTGTCTGGAATTCAAAAGGATTGTGGGAAAAGACCTGCACCAGGAATTTTATTCTGCCCTTGATAACCACACTACCCATTTTATTGAAAGTTTTAAAGCTAATAGGGGCAACGTGGGTGACAGTTGGCACAGCTTTTGCAGCAAATACAGGTAAAACTTTTGTAACCCGGATAAAAATACATGTGCAGTAAAAGCATAAGTTCATAACATAGTTAATCTAAAATGGATAAAAAGATAATTCATTTTTATTAAAATACATAGTTCATGTTAATGGTTAAATGTATATTTACAAAAGTGTTTGCGTCTCTGTATATTTCTTTTAACTTATCATACAGTATCCATTTTCTGTCTTACAGTCACTGGATTCTACTGAAAAAAGGACAGTCACACTCAGAGGGCTTCCTTACTTACTCGGAGACAATCCCACTGAATTCTTCAAATCTAGCTTTGTAAGTGTACATTTTGTTTGTAATGTGAAACTTTAGAATGTGACATTTATTGTATAATTTGAATATGCCAAAACTGACAAGTAGTCTGTACATTACGAGCTTCAGCCATTCCATGAATATTATTTATCTTAAAGTCAGATTATTATTATTTTTCAAATATTTGTTTGAACATTTGAAAATGCTTGACCAAATAGTTATCATGTCAGCATAAATTGAATTTCATACAATTTATGTTTTGTCATTCTTATTTACTCTGTTGTAGTTCAATAATTTCATTCACTAATGGTTATGTTTCTGGCATTAATTTTTTTGTTTTTCTTTAGGATGGTGATGAATCCTTTCGCCAAATGGACATTGGGATCTTGTTAGTAAATCTGAAGGTGTCTCTCTTCCAACACCAGATCTTCACCCAGCAAGCCTGAAAATCATCATTGAGGGTGAAATTGTTATGGACAAGCTGACAACTCTTATAACCCCTTGTTTGAATTGTGAAATGTAAAACACAAAAGCAAATGCTGTTACAGGGAACAAACAGAAGACTGCACTTTATTCAGGTTTAAGCATGTTATTATTGCACTATTTTTGCAATAAATTTGTGAGAAAAAAAAATTCATTTTATGTCAATTATAAAAAAAATAATATGACGTATAATTTGCATCTAATTATTATAATTAATAAACATATTCAATAAATACTCATAAATATCAGAAATACATACTGATAAAAATAAGTAATGATTACTGTATTACACAAGTAATGGTTAGTTAATTACTTGTAAACATTAGTTTTAGAAACTTAAGTTCTTTAGTAATGGGTTATCTTGGACTGAAGATTTTATGTAAACAGCTTGATTTGTTTAGTTTTTGATATTATAAAAACTAGACATCCCAGTGCAATCGCTTACCACGCGCGGTTTTAGTAATGATTACTAATTTGGGTTTACAGTGTAGTTCAAAATCTTCCTTTAGTGATATTTTGTTGTTGTAGGCAGTTTCAACACTAGGGAGTCCTACATGATGTAATTGGGAGTGTTTTTAGGAGTCCGTGGACCAACCACTGACTCATCTAGCAGCTATTGTTTTAGCCTCATTTTCACTGCTTCAATATAAAATCAGGGCTGAAATACCTAAATGTGCATTATGTAAATTTTCATGCTATTTGCTTGTCTTCATGAAAATACTATTTTTTATTGCTTTGGCTGGAATGTTTCACAGTATGACATTAAAATTATCTATGTGGCACTTCTTTCATTGTGGGTATTTTACATAGCTAAAAAAATGCATTCTCACTGCTCCACATATCTGTCTGAACTGTAACTTGGCCTGGTAGCGTCATCTGCTTGTCTGCATAAAGATAAATATGTTTATGGTCATACTGTAGAACATTCCAAGCAAAACAACAGCATCTCCTTACAAACATTGGAAAAACAGACCTTGCACTGTTAATATAAATACTGCAGTGGACATGACAGGTTAGACTGCACTTTTCAGTACAGCGAAGTTAACATAATTATACTTAGGATGTTGCCTTGAGTTCCCAAGTTTGAGAAGTTTACATTTGGCCCTCTTGGTTGGTCATATGGAGCAGATTTGATGTATTTGGACATAGTAATTACATTGGATTAGCCCAAATGTATAGTTTATAGCACAAATGCTAAGTATCAATACCTGTCCATGCATGGGGCTTTTAAAGGAGTTTAGCATCCAGAAATAAATGTAAAAAATGTGACACACAAATAAACAGTTCCAAAAGACAGCCAGAAGGCACATTTCAAACATGATATGTGTGGCTCTGGTCCAACTTCAGCCTGAGTCGTGTTGAAGATATTTTGGTCAGTCTGTAGTTTCAGGTCAGAGGGAAGAGGGTTCCACAGCCTAGAGCCCTTAGAAAAGAGACTGGATTGTCCAAATGATGTTTTAAACTTTGGAACTACACAGTACTCACTGACAGAGGCTCTGGTGTTAGGTCAGGGAGAGCCCTGGTGTCGGACAGCCATATCAGTAAATAGTGGTGAAGCATAATTACATAAAAAAAAAAAAAAAAATCTGAATATTAAAATTCACAAAGTTTTCAAAAGTAAAAAGCTTGTGTTTCTTGATAATTTCACAATGATGCCATCTCATAAGTTTCTTGTCTAGGCTCAAAATTACCTGTTAATACAGAGAAATTGAAGTGGTTTCAATGTGAAAACTGATGTGACATAGGTAATTCCATAAATATAACAGCAACTAAAGTTTCATTTCCCTACTTTACACAATAGTACATTTAACAAATAAATATATATTTTCCTTCTAAATTAATGTTTCAGCTGATATTAAAAAAAATATGTTGCTTGACAATTGTTGAATAAAACTGAATTACATTTTGTGTATTGAGTGATCCCTTTTTATAACTCAACTCTACTTCCTGTAATTTTTTATGTAAACTTTTGTTCAAAAACTGGCAATTAACGGAGATTATGATTAATATTTACTATTGATATTAACCCATCAAACTAAAGAAATAGGATGATAAACATTACAAGCACTAAAAAATCGATAAGGCTCTCATTCAGCCAAAACTTCAGACCAATTTTCACGCATCAAATCAACAAATGACCCATCAGGACATCATCTGTTCTCATTTGGGCCATAGTTTGGACTCTCTCAGCTCTTTGTTTGTCAGTTACACAAGTGTACAGTCTCTTGTTAGCGGAGTTGTGCGTTGTGTGCGTTGCTTTGTGTGTTTGTACTTGGGGCCGACTGTAATTGCTCCGACATGCTGTTGAAG